GGTGTCTAGTCAGTATGCTCTTAACACGCCAGGTGCTGAGTGATGTACAGAATCTATAGATCATTTACATATGTGCTCTTTACTTATTTATGCATTATATCTGTGCTAGTATTTATTTGTTTATTCTTTCTCTCTTGCTTTTCTATACATATGTGTATAAAACACTTAGCCCTTGCTACCTACGCCAACACACAAGCGCACACTAACAACCTGCTGCTGAGAAGCAGATAACCAGTCGGAAATTACCATATCCGCACGCGCACTCAACTCATACCTCATAGCTGTCTTACCCTACGCATCTACTGATTCTGACTACCCTATCAGCCTCTTCTACTCAGCCATATTTTCTATTCATCATGCTCACGACGGATGATGGTAACACACCTGGCTAACAGGCACACCAGGGTGAACTGTAGCATGGGTCTCTATGTTTGGCTACGTTTGTAGCTTTCCATTATAAAAAGTTAAAGACATGTTTGTCGCTGGATTATCACTCAGAGACCTGATCCAATAGTATAAGGCTGGACTCAGTAACCTGCATTGCACATGCATCCCGGGTGGTTCTGATGCATCAGCCCTATGCCCCAGGCAGGTCTAAGTAGAGGAAAGAAAGAGGACAAGATGGTGTGCTTAGCTCAGGGAGAGATGCAGTAAGTAGAGGCAGGGGAAAAGGAAACAGGCAGGCTAACCTTTGAGGTTAAAGAAAAAACATAATCAGAAAGTAATGTGCCCCCATAATATGCCGAAATAAAAGAAAAAAAAAAAAAGAAAGTAATGTGGTCTAAGAAAGGTTTTGGGGCTCAGCCAGTGGAAAATCTATGTAGGCCCACGCCACACCTTTGCCATCATGGCTGGGTCCCCCAGGGCCCTCTGCCTTGGCCTCAGTCACTAGAGAAGTCAGTCTACTTAAGTAGTAAGAGAAAGGAATTCCCTGATCTGGTAAGGTGGGAAAATGTGCTTCTGATGGGACAAATGGGAGCAGTAAGTAGTCTCCCCACGTGAAAACAGTGATACCCGTGGCAGTTAGATTTCTTAGCACTATTAGTGCAGGGACTTTTGAAGTCAAATAGCTTCACTGTCACCAACACAGGAATGCAAAGGTAAGTCAGACATACTGCTGCTTCTGAGGACTCTGAAGGTTCCAAGGGACGCAGCACCCACATACAAGCTTTAACAATCCTCTAGACCTGCAGTTTCCAACCCCCCGTCTGCAGACCAACACCAGTCCATGGACTGTTAGGGATTGGGCCACAGAGCTCTGTTCCCCACCCCTCAGAAAAATTGTCTTCCATGAAACTTAGGAAGGGGGAGCGCATAGCAGGAGGTGAGTGGAGGGCAACAGAGTGAAGCTTTATCTGTATTTGTAGCCACTCTTCTCACTATTGCTTGTATCAGCATTGCCGCTTGAGCTCTGGCACCCTCACCCCCACCTCCCAGTCTGTAGAAAAATTGTCTTCCATGAGACCGGTCCTTAGTGCCAAAAAGTTCGGGGACCACTGCTCCAGACTTACACTCAATGCTTGAAAATAACAACAACCCAATGATAAACTAGGATCTGCCTCTACTAAGAAAGGTACTCTAGTATCTAGGTACTCTATTGAGTACCCTGATACTTGGTCTCAGGTAGAAATTACTTAAATTCTGACATCCAATCAGCAATTCACATTATTTAATATGACCACTCCATTTGAACTGGGCCATTTATATATTTGTTAACTTATGACAAAAAAGCAACAAAAACGTATTCTTAAAAGGGCAGTTTATACAGGATTAAATGCCAAGGCTCAATCTTAGCACTGTCATTTACTAGCAGAGTGATCTCAAGCAAGTTAATCTTTCTGTGCCTCAGAATAATAAACTAAAATCGATTTAAATATTTTAAAAAAAACAGTACTCTTTGAATCAACAATTCCAACTCTAAAAATATACCCTAAGGAAATAACTAAGCCAGGGAACAAATATATTCATTACTTTATTAACATCAAGAGCCCAGAACCAAACTGCATGTCCATCATCAGGACATTAAATGATGACACCAATATACAACAGAATACCAGGAGTCATAAGAAGCATGGTTTATGTCCATATTTAACATGAAAAATTTTCTGTGATGGTTTGATAATTCTGAAAATCATTAAATAAACAAAATCAATAAAAACACCCCCCCACACACACACACACACATCTCTAACCTCTCTTCCTTTAGGCTGGTTAACATCTTATGGCCAAATTTCTCTTTTACTCAAAGATGTGTATAACCCCAAGACTAGCATATAATAGCAGCTCAATAAATGTCAAATAAAAATAAACAGAACTTAAAAAAAAAAATAAGACCAGAAGAGCATGTATAGTATGATTCTACTTAGAAGAAAAAAGTCCCACACACTTAAAAGTGCAAACATAGGCCGGGCGCAGTGGCTCACGCCTGTAATCCTAGCTCTCTGGGAGGCCGAGACGGGCGGATTGCTCAAGGTCAGGAGTTCGAAACCAGCCTGAGCAAGAGTGAGACCTCGTCTCTACTATAAATAGAAAGAAATTAATTGGCCAACTAATATATATAGAAAAAATTAGCCGGGCATGGTGGCGCATGCCTGTAGTCCCAGCTACTCGGGAGGCTGAGGCAGGAGGATCGCTTGAGCCCAGGAGTTTGAGGTTGCTGTGAGCTAGGCTGACGCCATGGCACTCACTCTAGCCTGGGCAACAAAGTGAGACTCTGTCTCAAAAAATAATAATAATAATCAATGTACAGTGTGATAAGTACAATGCCAACAGCAAAAAGTATTATAAAAACTTAGGTATCTAGATAGAAAATAAGACCAGGAAGGCTTCATCCCTTGAAGTAAGTCTTAAAGGAAGAACTTCCCAAGCAAAGTAAGCAGAGGAAATCATTCTGAGAACTGGACAGCATGTGGCCAGGCTCCTCAAGGTGGTGGATGCTGATGAGGCGTAAAACATGGGGCAGAGTGGTAGAGAACTGGGCAGAGTTAAGCAAGGGCCAGATTATGGGGTTAAGCCACACTAAGAAGTTTCGACATCTTTTTTTTTTAGGTAAAGAAGAGTTACTAAAGGCACAAGAGAGACATCATTTGATCTTCATTTTCGATTAGACAACAGAACTGAGAAACAGGCATGGAGGCTGCCATCACAGCCTAGACAAGAAGTGACCAAGGCTGAACTAGGGCAATGGGAATTAGATGGAGGAGAGGAGGACACAAGCCAGAGATTTCCAAATTTTCTTGATTTACAGCACTCTGAGTGTTCCAGTAATTTTTTCACAGCACCCACCAACTCCCCCAAACCTACAATCAGGCTAAACATCAGCACCCTCATTTCTTCTTCTACAGTGATTTTCATGGGGTACTTGCTTTTTATCACAGGAACCACTGAAAACACAGCTTCACAAAGACAGGAAATCATCAAAAGAGATGCAATGATCTCATGTTGAAACTGCAAACTACCTCCAGCTAGTAGTTTGTGGAATGCCTGACAGATATCACTATGTTCCCTTAAAAAATCAAAAACATCCTGCAATGCCCCAGGGTGCCTCAGTTTGGGAGTCACAGCTATAAGCCATATTATGAGGTAAAAATCAGGATGGCCTGAAAACTGACTGGATGTAGGGAGATAAAGAATTACAGAAGAATCAGGGATCGCCCGGGTCTCACTCAGATGTATGGGTGGGTGGTGCAGCTAGCAAGTGGCAAGAACAAACAGGAGAAATCAGGCTGCAAATTCTTAAGGGGCAACGATGCAAAAGGAAGAAACAATTTTAAGCACGTTCTATTATCTACAAATATTCAAGAACAATCTCTTGTTTAACTTATAGTTTGAGAATTTTATGAAGAATAAATGAAACCTCAGAGGTTTCTCAGAGCTAAATGGAATGAAAGAACATCTTTAAACCACATCACATAAAAATTTTAACAAGTCTCTCACTACTGTAAGATGCTCAGTTTTAACATAAATGGTGTTAAGCACACACAATGTCCCTCTTTCCCCTTATTGAACACTTTTGAAGCAAAGTTAATTGTTAAGTATTTTAAATACTGTTATTCAGGGGCTGATTCTTCCTGTTTTTGGCTCCTCGCTACATGTGAGAATGAGAAAAGCAATATATTCCATTCTGCAGCTGTCTGAAGTTTAAGGAAAGGTTTTAATGAAGGGAGGGAAGGGAATAAGTTAAATTAAAAGCTCCAATTAGATATATCTACAAAACTACTGAGGATGTCTATGTTAATCCTATCATGGATAATCTAAAATCAACTGTTTTGCTCTTTTAAGTGCCTGTGACCAAATCTGTTCCTGAATCACCCACAGTACAGTGATGTGAGGTAATTCAGATGTGTCAGGCCATGAGTGGTTGGGATAAATACATTCACTAAAGCATTTGAAACAGCAACTGTTTCTGGCTAATAAACTGTTACAGTTTGACTCAGGTTGGCTCTGAAAGTTAACACTAGCAACACAGAATCATAAATACTCTTCCCAGCCCCATGTTCTTCAGAAGGGCAGGTCCCATAGGACCTGGCCCTGGCACTCTGGACTGTCCACAGGCTGCTGTGAGTCAACGTGCCTTCTGAAAACTATCAGAGGTTTGGCGTAACAGTGCCAACGTGTATAGAATGCAATAAAAGGAACAAAAGACTCTTTTCCTTGGTCTGCTTTCTTCAGTACCAATCCTATACAACATTAATTTCAAACTGTTAATGTGAGGATAAAGCTGGATTGCTCTGTGCGTAACACTCTTAATCGGTACCATGGAAAAGGCTCACCCTCAAAAGACAGAAGGATTTTCACAACAGCAGAGTTAGTATCACTGAAAAGAGGTCAGCTAACACTAGGAAGCAGTATATACTCAAAAGAGTAATTCTCCCAACAAATTCCTGCAGTTCTCAGCTTCCTACATATGTAGCTATTTCAACTGTGATTCACGCAAAGAGAAAATTAAATTTAAAAATGGGAGGGGGAGAACTTCCTGAAAAGTAACTAAGAACACTTACCAAGACACTTGAAAGGTATAACAATGTGACTCTTGCACTGCTTTTTGTCCCTCCGGCACCAGTTGTCAATACTGACTGGTTGATTTGCTTCCATCACATTTGTGATCTGTAGCTCTGGATACATCTGTTAAGGAAGCGAAAACACACACATAAACTGATCTGCAGATGGATAGCCACTTGCAAGTAAGGATAAGTGTCTAAGTTTACTCAGCCTCCACCTTTATCCTATATAAATCTAAAGTTCCACTCTGCTACCCTCGGTTTCAACTCAAGTCATCAAGTAAAAAGATACCGTAACTGTTAGTTTTCTTTTGCCAGGTTAAATTTCTGAACACTTTAAAAAGGGAATTTGCAAAAGTAGCAAGATTTTTAGCCCAAAACAAATCCATTAGGTGTCGTTTGCTTGTAAGGTATGTGTAAATCTCTGAGTTTATGAACACTCAAGAGGCAAGTCTACAGAAATGTTAATGAAATTATTAGAATAATACTTGACCCCTGGTCCTATGTATTAGTCTTGGCAAAAAGTTATACCATATTCTTTTCTTTTGGGCCCAAAAGTTGACTCAGACCTAAGATGATCATTTTCAATACTGGTAGCTTTCTATCCGTAAGTAGAAAACACAAGCATACGCGTGACTTGTTTTGCATTCCATCTCCCCAAGGCAAATGGGAAGACAAGAGAACCAGGCTGAACTTGCCAAGCTTCTACAGTATTCCTTCCTTAGAGAACTGAGAGCTCACAGTGCACACAGGCAAAGCCTTTGGGAGGTCTCGATCACACCACACATTTGGAAACAAAAGGCCTGGGGACCCAGCCATTAGCATTTTGGTCTTAGGTCAAAATAGAAGAATGATAGAATATCTATTTCTAAGGTAAATAGGTTCAACCCTGACCCAGAAAAAAAAGTGGTTTTAACTTTCTGGCAACACTCTTACCTCCTGACAGTACTGAAGAACTTCTTCTTTTGTTCCAAAGCAGCTCTTGGTGCCTGTTGGGTCAGGTTCCCATTTCCCAGTCTGGATGTTCACATGCATATTTAACTTCCCACAAAACATTGCAATTTGAGGCTCAGCAACAGCAAATCCTGTTCCAGCATTGGCTGCAAGAGCCTACCAAATGGGAAAAAAATTCCAGGTTTACTCCACAAAGGCTGGCACAAAGACACTTTCATTCATTCAGTGGTGCTTCGACAAAATTGATCTTTTAAAAATCTTTATTATTTACTACTTTTATCTTGATAAACAAATCCTATTTCCAGGAGTTGTACCAGAAAAAACAAAAAAAAAGATCTTTGGACATACACAACCAAAATGAAAGGTCAAGAGGAAATCTAACCCTACACTCCTCCTTTGGGATACTTCTAACTTGACAATCGATAACCCGACTGCAGTCTGCTCTAGTGCAAGCAAATCTACTTTCCATTCCTTCGTATATCAAATCATGAATGTCGAGAATGACTACAGTTCCAATAATTTTAATTTACTGACAAAAGAAAATTTTATTGAGCAACTACTATTTTGCAAAGCAATATGCTAAATGCTTAGGACATAAGAGCAAAAAGTCGTGGCCCACTTTCTTAGGCTCTAATGCACGAGTCAAAACACACACACACACACACACACACACACACACACACATGAAAGTATGATCACATTCCCAGATGTTCTAAGAAGGAAAAGAACACAATGCTGAAAAAACAAATAAAAAAGGAATCTGACTAGGCTTGTAGGTCATCAGGGAAGCTTCCTGAAAGGAGTGAAATTTGAGCAGCCCTTTAAGCTCCCATGTGGACAGACTGTTGAGATGCTGCAGTAGAGAGATGGTGGAGAGGCATGCAGGGACAAGACTTTATATAGACAAAGGAAGGATTTCAGTCCTTATCATTGGGAGTGTTGAGAAGTTTTAAGCACAAAGTTATTATTTTCAAAATGCAACTCTGATGCTTTCTCTGGCTGGAAGGTAAAGAACCAACTTAAAGGATTAACAAGAATGCATTCAGGGAAACAGTTCAGGAAGCTGGAGTTGCAGTTAAAGAGAGGGATAATGGTAGTTGAGCTAAGATGGTATGGTGGAGAGGGAGGTTGAAGAGATCAGAAAGAGGAAAATGGGCAAAGATTAGATATGAGGGATGAGGAAGAAGAAGATGTCACATTTGGCTTGCATTACTCAATATGTGATGGCATCATTTATGGAAACGAAACGCTATAAGGGATTTCATGAACAATTTTATCTCACATTGGGTAAAAATCATCTAATATTCTATGAAGTCTTTCTTTGGTCAGTATCACCCTTTTTGTGAAGAGATCTTAACCATTAACAGCTCAGAAATTATAGGTGAGAAATAACATTTAGGAATTATGACAGTAAGGCTCCTGCCAAGTATCATGCACTAGAAAAGCAAACGCACCTCTGCAGCTAGTAGCATGCCATTAGCAACGGTTACAACCATAATGGAGTTTTGTAGTGTCCCATAATGCAAAACTTCTTTCAAAATAAAAATTAAAGTTTTTTTAAAATGTAAAATTTATGTGCAAAGTTTAGATTATATGGTCCATTATGTTATTCTTTTTAAAAAGAGAATAAACATAAGACAGTTTTCCTATTAACAAGAAAGGGTAGCCTTGCCTTTTTAGATATATGGAAAATGTATACTTTTCTAGGCAACTTTCATTTACTTGTGCCGATGAACTACATAGACATGAGTAATCCTCCCAATTAGGAACTTCAATTTGATTTTGAAATATATAATGATCTTTTTCCAAGACAAATTTACCATCCAACATACATTTTGCCTAGGAGCTTTTTAAAATTAGCCTGCTTTCTACTAACATAAGAGAAGGATGCACCAACACTTGTTGGATAGCTGGGAGAAAGCTAATTTGGAATTAAAATGTTGCCAATATCTATCAGGGTTGAAAAACACCTAAATTAAATCCAATGAACAATTAGCACCTTCATTAGAACTGATTGTAGTCCTGCTGTGACAAATAATTACTTATTAAAGTAGAAAGCCCTATACCTTCTGTATAACTGCATATGAAGCAGATGAGTGTGAATTCTAGCTTCCTCTAAAGAAGGAAAAAACATTTAAAGGTATCAGTAGAAAGGAACATACACTTATTCATAGGTAATAATCTAATGGTGCTTCATTCAAATAAATCATTAAAAGGTATCAAAGACGTACAAGGCAAAAGTGATTATTTTCACAATAAGTTCAAGATGTGTACCAAAAGGCTGACTCTTTTGGCCATGCTTCTTTTTCAATCCGTATGTTAGAATTATGGACAGCTACAAACTTGGATTATGTGAGAAAAAAAAATTGGTATATATAGACATAAAGGCAAAGAAGCCCTTGGAACACTTCTGTACCAAAACCAGCACTCTCCCCAAATTCTCTGCTTTCTACTTCAAAAGCGTGGATAGAAATAAATGAAGACAATCCAAGAAGATGTGATAAATATGTAGTAGGATGGTGTAACTGCAGTTTCAGATTATGAATTTTAAATCATTATAACTAGGCTGAAACACATTTTTATTAATCAAAATAGGAACCATTACAATCAATACATTTTTGCCAATGACAAATAAGCTCGTTTATCACTGTATCATAAAAATTCGTGCTTTGGGATTCGAGGAACTCTTGGAAAGCACTTTCTGCATCCTGCTGGTTGTGGAAGTGTTTTCCCTACAAAAAGTTGTCGAGATGCTTGAAGAAGCAGGAGTCAGTTGGCAAGGTCAGGCGCATATGGTGGATGAGGCAAAACTTCGTAGGCCAATTCACTCAATTTTTGAAGCGTTGGTTGGTCGTCGTGGAGAAGAACTGGGCCCTTTCTGTTGCCCAATGCTGGCTGCAGGCATTGCAGTTTTCAGTGCATTTCAACTATTTGCTGAGCATACTTCTCAGATGTAATGGTTTCGCTGGGATTTAGAAAGATGTAGTGGATCAGACTGGCAGCAGACCACCAAATAGTGACCAGACCCTTTTTTGGTGCAAGTTTGGTTTTGAGAAGTGCTTTAGAGCTTCTTCTCGGTCCAACCGCTAAGCTGGTCATCATTGGTTATCACATAAAATCCACTTTTCATCACAGGTCACAATCCGATCTAGAAATGGTTCATTGTTCCATACAATAAGACAACACTTCAAAATGACAATTTTTTTGATTTTCAGTAAGCTCATGAAGTACCCACTTATCAAGCTTCTTCACCTTTCCAATTTGCTTCAAACGCCAAATGACCACAGAACGGTCGATGTTGAGTTCTTTAGCAACTTCTCATGTAGTTGTAAGAGGATCATCTTCAAAGACTGCTCTCAAGTGGTCGCTGTCAACTTCTGATGGCTGCCCACTACACTCACTCCTCATCTTCGAGGCTCTCGTCTCCTTTGCAAAACTTCTTGAACCACCACTGCACTATACATTTGTTAGCAGTTCCTGGGCCAAATGCATTGTTGATGTTGTGAATTGTTTCCCCTGCTTTATGACCCATTTTGAACTGAAATAAGAAAATCACTGGAATTTGCTTTTGGTCTAACATCATTTCCATAGTCTAAAATAAATGTAAAATAAATAGCAGGTAATAAGTCAATAGCAAAAAAACATAAAGCAAGAAATGCGCATTCAAATGATGTATAACATAACATCTATTTAAGAATGCATTCCAATATCAAACGGCAAATTTCAATGCTAAAACTACAATTACTTTTGCACCAACCTAATACATTAGAAAGCCAAACTAACAGTTCAAAAGGATCATTGTTTCCTAAACCTATTATAAATTAACTGCCAACACAGTTAAATCCGCAATGTTTCCTAAATTCTATGGTCTTGTATATTTTAACATTAAAAGCAGATACTAAACAAACAGGATTTCAGGTACGGTATATGATCTATCAGAAGTACAGAGTGGGGGAAGGAACCATTACCCCTTGATTCCAAAAATGAATACAGATAAGAAACAATGTCAATTAGTTAAGTGAGATCACCCAAGCCACAGCCAAGGAGTGGGCAGTCTTAGTGAAGGCAGCCACTTATCAGCACCAAAGATTATGTTCCACATGTTACTCATTATGGCTGTTGGCTAAAAGACCACAAGAGATCCAAGTGTATAAATATTCAGTTTATGGGTCAACCACTTAGGTCAACACCTCAGTGGTAAGTGCATTTGATCTCTGAGCTAAGATGGTCAGCACTGCCTTCCCCAAAGAGAATCTAAAGTACCAGAGGTTAAAGCAACAGGAAGAGGCAGCTAAACAGCAACAGATCCTCACATCAGCTACCACCAAGAAAAAGTACAGTAACTGGAATCAATCCAGACAGCTAATATGCTGTAGTGAATCACTTTTGAGTTCAGAAAGATTAATCCTGTGGTCATAAGAGACTCTCAAGAAGGTATCATCTGAAATATAAAAAGCCTCTGTGGACCATGTCTAGGAATCAACTAATCAAACATGCCCCCAACCTTACCTAGAATAGATAATTTTTTCTGTAATATTTGTACTTCTCTGAAAATGCTCTTATTTAATGTGCCCTCCATTTCCTTCAGCACACTCTGTGCCTTGATCCATTACATCAACATATAAATCAATCTGTTTCCTAATCTAACATGTTACAAATGGGATTTCACTGCCAAGTCAGCACTTCTGATATCCTGTGAACCTGGAATCCTCTACGAAAGAAATTAATGCCTCGTGCATTGGCACTTAAGCTGATACTTGTGATCTATGCACATTGCAGCATTTTTAAGGCTTTGAAAACAAATTGCATCAGTTGTTTTCCTAACCCAGTGCTTCCATTTTACTTAATAATTCATTCTTAAAAAGAAGTTCCATTTTATTAATTTGGCTCAGGGAAGAGTTTATCTATCCAAGGACAGAAATTCAACTTGGTAAAAAGTGCTTCTAGCAACTTGGTTGAAAACCTGAAGTGGCTTAAAGCAATAAATATGTAAATCTAAATCTAAACCTGAACCTACTTTAAATTGGGACCTTTAATCAATCACCACCTCAAAAAATGTAATAGGCCCACCTAAGCCTACCTCCCTTCACAGAGCTGCTCAGGACCAAGGGCTGCCCTCCCACTGCAAAGCAAATGAGTACACCCAGGTATCTCTT